CCCCCCCCCCCCGTTGCTCATCGCCCTCCTGCCACCCAGCCTCTTTGTTCCTCCTCGTGCATGCCAGGCATGCTCCTGCCTCAGGTCTCTGTGCTCCGGGTCCCTCTGGCTGGGAAGCTCCTTCCTCTGATGCTCACATTGCAGGCTTCCTCCCTTCATTCACATGCCACTCATTCAAACGGCACTTGGCTTCTCTGATGGTCTTTCTAAACATGCTGCCTCCTGGCATTCTCAATCCTTGCATCTTCCCTTATCTTCCTTCCTGGCACTTATTACCTGCCATCGTTATACATTTGTTAGTTGATTTATTTGAATGCCCAAGTCCTCCACTAGTACATAAGCTCCTCACCCATCTTCATCATCATGGCATCTGCTCGGCCCAGACAGTGCTCAGCACATAGAAGACACACAGAAGTAACTTTTTTTTAAAGCAACAATGAAAAAAGCTCTGATCTGACCACCTAGCTCACACTCTTTCCATTACATCATGCTGCTTCCCAGGAAAATGCTAAACATGCACAGTTTGTCATTTCTTCCCTAACAGATTAAAATGTCTTTGTCTTACATACTTTTTTAAGCTTTACCAGGCCCAGCATGTAGTAAATGCTAGATAAATATGATGAAATGAGTGAAAAGCAACCACAGAGGTAAAGAAGAAAGAAAAGAGAGCTGACAGCATGGTGTTTGTATTCTATGGCACCACTGACCACTCAGGGGTCATCTTTTTCTGCCCCATGTGCCCATCTGCCCAAGACACAGGAGATAAAAATTAACCAAACTTGAGTGCTGGCTTCAAGGAGCTACCATATATGGAAGTATCAAAACACAAATTTTAATATACACCTTTGAAAGAGATGTAATTAAAGAGCTATCAGATTTCAAGGTGAGGGAATTACTTCTAGTTGTGGGATTAACAGAAGAACCTGTGAGAAGAGATGGCATTCGAAATGGCTAAACTGAATACTGAAAGGTGAGTAACAGCCTATAAACCTCCAGGAAGAGCTATATTTTATTCATCTCAGTGTCCTTAATGCCCCAGAAAATGTCTGAAACATAATGACATTCAATAAATGTTCAATCAACTTGGGAGAAGCAAGCATTCTAGGCAGAAGGAAGAGCGTCAGTAAAACACAGACTCGAGAGGATGCAGGGTATGGATGAACTGAAACTGTGGGGACTGGCTGGTAAAAAGGGTTCATGAAAGGGAATGGCAAGAGCTCAGGAGGGAAAAGCAGGTTCGCAGCAGAACAAGGAGAGCCATGCCTGACGGACTAGCGGGGATAGACTGCTGTGCAGGCCAGGAGAGAACACTGAACACTTTCATGCAGGAGCAGGTGATCTGAGGAGTCTAGGAGGAGCTCTCCGCTTGGGAAAATAAACCCATCTCCACTTCACCCATATTGTTTAGCTTCTGCTATTAGAAATTATTTTCATTGAAGGCATAACTTCTCTAGGGATCTTAATATCTAAATTCTCCTGAGGGGTAACAGAAAAGGCTCTCGTCATTCGTTTATACTTTAGTGTAAGTTGGACAACAGTTTACCTCCTTCTGGCTAGAGTAAGTACAAAGAGCCACTGGGGAAATGGTAATTTTGACTGCAGATGAAAGATAACTTTTTGACTCTGAGACACTGCTCTGGAAAGACAAAGTCTGGGGTGTAAAAAAAGAGGTTAATTAATTAAATATTGTTTAAGAACAAACTCTGTTCTTTCCAAAAGCACAACAGAATAAAGATAAATAAAAGACACTATAGTCTTCCATAATAAAAGTCTTGAATTGACGACCCAGAAGGTAAGAAATTAGGAGAAATATAATCAACTGAACATTTCTGAGAGGAGGGGGAAAGGTTTTGTGGAATTTGACACTATATGCTGAATTCTTTGCGCTTTCCTCGAAAGTAGCAAGTAAAGATTTTACCAAAATCACATTCCATCACGACTTCATGAACCATGATGGACAAATAATATTCAATGAATATGATGATGCAATTTAAAATTTAAAAAGAAAATTAAAAAGAAAACGTTGCAATTCCACCCAAATGGTGTTATGTACCAAAAATGATGATCACGGTAACAACCACGTGATAAGCCTGGAAATTCCAGCCAGACTGAATGGAACCCAGGTGTCTCATACGGATGGTTCTCTTGCTTTCTTAAACTCAAATCCCACATCTAGGCCAGAGGGGCTCGTTCTGCTGGCTGGTTGGGCGATGGGACGCAAGGAAAACACGGGGATGCGTCCCCGCAGAAGTCCACCTAAGGACCCCAGGTCCCCTGCGGGATAGGAGGTGGAAGGGGCACTCACCGTTTGTCGATGGCATCGATGTTTGAATGGAGGAGCCATAGCTCCTCCGTGTTGTCCTGCCGGGAGGACAGGATCAGGTGGTGGCCAGTCAGACACAAGGTCCCCTCGACGGCGGGGTAGAAAGGCCGGTGCAGCACCACATTGTCCACCCGCGGGGTCTTAATCAGCTCCGCAAACTCCATGTTCCCCAGCGGCCGGAGCCAGGGGACTGCCGAGCCCCGGAGGTGCGAGACGGTCAGACCGCCGCAGGGCTGAAGGGAATGACCCGGCGCTAGGCAGGCCGGAGGGGCGG